AGAAGACCATAACCAGCTCATACAAATGCTGGTGCATGGAAATTCAATATCCATTTTAACCATTGTATTGGAAACCATTAAACATTTTTTTCAGTGAGTTTACGCATTGCGCTTTTCACTTTTTGCTAATTTTTCGACAGGGTCAGTGACGTTTCATAGAAAATTGTGTTAAATTTGAAGAGCTTTCTCTTTCATCGCTGTTCTCTAATCCCTGGCTTGTTGTTATTAAAATTACTTCAAATAAAAAAACATTAATTTAGCTTAATAAGGCTGTGCTAAGAATATATCTAAGCAAGCATAAATTATGTAGAATCTGAGTTATCTTTAAAATTTCACCAACAATTAGGTTCCCCTTTAAGATTTAAGTAAACAATTTGCAAGCCCGCCTTTAGAAGTTGATATATTAAAAAGTACTTAAAGGCTTTCTTGAGATTCTTTGCGTTGAGGCATTTTCCCAACAATTTGAGTTACGACCCCGAAAACATTTAGTACGTGCATTTCAAGTTTTCGCTAGACTTCTTTGTTTTCTTTTTGCTTCGAAACCCTGACCTTTTCCATTGTTCCACTTGTTTTACTGGGTGAAAATTTCTCGTGGCTGACCATTTGTTTGCATTTGTATCTAAATAGTTTGGCTAAAAGTTTTAATTTGTTTGATACAAAATTGCTTGCTCCCCTTTAGTGCAAAACTAAAAAACAAAAGTCAGCTTTGTGCGATAGTTTAATGATTCATGATTGGAAAGTTAAGTTTATGCAGCTCATGATTTGTGCCGGGAGTTAGAAATAATTTATTACACGCCTGACGCAGCTCACAGAAAGAATAAGAGAGATAGGAAAAGTTGGCCAAGAGTCGAGGAAGAAAAATAAATAAAATTCAGTAGAAGATAATTAATAAATGGCGAAACGAGATCGATAAGTTATGGCCAGCATAAATCTAAGATATATTATTTTTCCATTTTTTGCCCACTCAGCGGCAATCATTTTCCAATTCGTCTCCTCTTCTACACATTTTTGCATACGAAGGCAAGTTTAAAGGAATCTTTAATGAAAAATAAAATAAATACCCAGCGGTGTTGGCGGGTTGTTTGCTAACTTGGCCAGGAGGTCCTTCGCCCAGGCTCCTTTCTCTCAGCCCGTTTCCTTGGCCTCTGATTACCTGGAAAATGCCAGGCCACATCAATCAATCGAGGCGGCAAAGTTTTATGCAACTTTCTGGTCCGTTGCGGTGTCTAACCAAGCCAATTAATTTGTGGTTTACATGCCATTCCGCTCGTCAATAAATGCCGCCCACCGCCTACTTTCCGCACTCCTGATTCATCGCACACCCTCGGGCATTTCGATAGGAGCAACGAGCAGCCCATAAATAATGGAAATCAACATTGCAAATTTTCCCAAAGAAATTTCAATGGATGGGGAAGCAAAACATTTGATGTAAAAAATATGGCCAACAATACCATGCCCTTTTTGGGCCTCAATTTTGCGGCCAGTAACGTTCGCATTGAATCGAATTATTTGCTGACTTGTTGCAACAACAATAATAGGCACAAAACTTTTGATTAAGGCATTTTTTCGGTTTAATTAACTGTTTTGTGAGCGTGTATGAGGCGATTGAGTATAGGAAATGGAATCAAATATAAAGGAATGGAATGTTGTAATTGCCATGGAAATTCTCTCACCAATAATTCACCTGCAATTAATTGGGTTTCAAATATCTTGAAAAGTTAGTGCCTTTTAAATTATTTTACCATTTCTACAGAATAGTTGTATTAAATATTTAAAAATGAAATGGAATGGTTAAAATATTTAAAATATTTTTATTATAAGCAAACAATTTATTTTCTAACACATTATTTTGTTATTACTATTTTTAACTGATTAGCTTAAATAAAAATTTGTATATTTTCTTGTGGGCTATTATTTAAAATAGTTAATTTATTAATATAATAAATATACAAATTATATTAAGGTGTTGTTAAGCCATTTATTAGTTGATAGAGTTCAAGGAAGAAAGAGTATCAGCAACTGAACTTTAGACACAGTTTCTAAGTGTATCAAGTATCCGACCGGGTGAAATTTTTGTGCTGATTATGAGTTTTGAGTTGGGGCAGCAAGAGGCTCATTAGGAGGCTTTGGGTGGCCATACTGGCATACCGCACTTTAATTTTTTCTTGTCTGCGGTAATCTGCCAGTGCACTTAGCTCTCAGCAGTGGCCATCATCAGCTTTTCGCAGTTTTCCTCCGCTTTCCTTGGCCGTTTAATGCAGTCCAAAGAGCACTCGAGCAGGGGAAGAAAATGCTCGAGGGGTGGCAAAGGGGGCGCCTCTCACGGAAAAGTTGCAGTTGACACCATCTTATGAAATTAGTTTCTTTTCTCCCCATTTTTGACTTGACATCGTTTTGGCCGCTGCTGGCACTTGAGGGTCGCCGTCTTCTTATCCTTATTTTCTCGTGTCCTTCTTGTTCTCCTTGTGTAATGTGAATATTCGTGCGGACATCGCTGCCAGCGTCAACAAAAGGCAATGTCGCAGCATAAATCCTGGCCAGAGCTGCTACTCTTACTCAGCCTCCAAGCTAAGCGTTTTTGTTTAACTTTACACTTGACCCTTGAAATGGCCAACTTTAGCTGACTGGAATTTATGCTTGTGAATTTGTTGGCTACTGCGAGGAATTTCGTAAGATATGCAGGTGGAATTCCGCATTCATTTCTGTCTTCATTTGTCTAAATTTTGTAGTTTTTGTCTTTAAGATTAAATATATATATAAAGTAAAATAATAAATTTGTGTTGGTCATAAACTTCTTACTTAATTTTATAATAACTTATGAACTAACTAAGCAAAGAACTAAAGCTAACGCTCTTGAATAGTAAATAATATTTCCTTTAAGGACTGCTACTTTTACCATCAGAAAAGGCGTTTTCCAAAACAGCAACGTTGTAATATTAGTGACAGTAAAATATTAGAAGCGAACGGAAGGCAAAGCACCGATTCGTTATATAGATCATGAATCTTTTTTATTGCAAATTAAGGATTAGCAAGTGGGAAAGTGCCATCTCGCTGGAATTTACGTTTTATGTTTATGAGGTCAGCTAAGAGAAAGAGCGGGCTTATGGCCAATAAGTATTGAAAACCGAGAACGGGTTTGACCTTTTCGTGTTGCCATAATTCTTGACTCACGCTTTGTTTAGACGGGCGTGGTCGGGTCGAAAAACACACACTCGCCAACAGCTCGAGAGTCGGCAAACAAATCTGTTTAATTAAGGCGAAAGTCCACTCCGAGGAAGACAGGACCTACATCCTGCTGCTTCGTCCTATCTCGACTTCGTCCTTAGCTCTTTGGCTCCGTGTGAGCGATGAGGTGTTGGTTAGCCTTTGGGCCAGGCAAATTGCTTGGTCAGTTCTTTGAGGCCGGCAAACACACTCACACGCCCCAAAGAGTTCATTTCAGTCAAGGATTCGGCAAGGACCAAGGGGCATCAACGGGGATCAGGGGAGATGTGGAGATGGCTAGGTGCCAGAGCGATAATTTGTTGCCAGCCAGTCGCAACCTCTCGTAACTTAGATGCTGCCAAAAAAACAGAAGCTCAATTTATAAATGAAATCGTTTCGTTGCCTTCTCCGCCACACGCAGAAAAATAGGTTGGGCTGGGTTATTTTAAAGAATTAACAATTATTAGCTGTATTATTATAGCTTTTAATCACTATAAAAAATATATCTAGTTTTAAATTTTCCTAGATTTAAAACCTTTGAATTAAAATCCCAAAAAAAGCTAGCTTATTGGCTTCTAACTCGCACATTATTTATTCTGAGTGTACTCCTCCCAACATACTCTGCATCCCTCAGGGTTTCGCCTCTTTTAAGCGAGATTTGAATTTCTTTTTGTATTACTTATCGCCTTGATAGATACACTTGGGTCCATTTGATTGCTTTGATGTACGGCTAAGAGAATGGCTAAGAGAAATGGAAGCCGAAAGGAAAATTCAGGGAGTATAGTGAGAGAAAGGTCGTTGAGGCGTCTTTGATTTGTTGCGGGCCCAATGCACTTGAATTTGTTTGCCTTTGATGTCGGCACATTAGTTTTGGGCTGATTTGAAAGCCTCACAGTTTCCGTTTTTCTTCTCCTTTTTGTGTTTGCCTCCAAATGAACTCTTTATCACTTTTGTTTTTTCCCTGCCGCAGAGCAACAGTTCCGCAGACCGCAGGAATGGCATTGGCTAATCTATTTAAGCCATCATGCAACGTGACGCGCTGGATGCAAGTTTCTGGCCAGCAAAATTGTGGCAGGTTGGCCATTCCCCCAGCGACATCTGCTGCATGCGACATCCCAGAAATGGGGGAATGGCATGGGTTTCCTGCCAAATCGCTGCCACAACAAATTCGGAGCGTCTGGCCAAATGAAATAGGATTCCGCAGTGAACCACAGTGGCGGAGAGCTGCGCGAAAAAATAAAATAAAATAAAATTCGTGGCTCAGAGGAAACGTCATAAAAATTGTCTATTTCTCACATTGATTCTGCCCCGGCAAATATATACTACACTTGTGTGGCAAGTCCATAGAAATGCTTTAGAATCGTGGCAGCTCTCGCCAAGATTGCCAGGAACATGCTGCACCACTCCACATAAAAAGGACACTGGGTGGAGTTGTTGTGGATAGTGGGCAGCCAGGACTCACTTCCCAGGTTGATTCTGTTGCCTGGCAACTTTTTCCTGCCAGTTGTACTGAATAGGATAATAAACAAGAACGGCCCTTTCAGTTTAAGTTTACTTTCGAGCATTAAGTTCAACTTAATCGTTTTGAATTTTTAGTAAAAATAAAAATAATTTGAAGAGAACTCTGGTAATCTTTTCAAACCAAATTTCATTCATCATCTTTGTTCACAAAACCCAAAAGATTCTTAAATTACTCGATAAATTTGTATGACTTACACCAATTGTAGTAAATAAAATATTTCAAGCAGAAATATGAAAAGAGCATAGCCAAAACTTCAGACTAGTTTTTCGGAATTTTGATTTTTATTTATGCAATATTTTCAGGTATTTCCAGTGGAAATTTCTTTCAATTTGTGAGAATTTCATATCAATTTTGTTATTGCCTTATTTCATCGCTGGGCAGTTGTTTTCTCAACAGGGAATTTCAATCATGCGATGGGATCCCTTCCTGCCCAAAATCAATTCCTCCCTATTTTGTTTCCATTGGTACTCGTTTGACCTGCTGTGTGGATGTATAGTTTGTCTATGAATTTATTGGCATAAATTTGTGAGTGGTTTTCTGAGACTTACCAGCAGACACTTGTTGGCCATAGCCTGTGGGCGTGGCAGCTCCCGCCTCAATTTCATATGTTTCTCCACACCTACGTAATAGAGACAGCCGTCTCGTTCCTTGAGTATAAAACACTCTTCAAGCTCCGCGTTTTCAGCGGTTTTCTCTTCGCTATAACGCTGATCTGATAGATATATCTGCTCTCCAGTTTGGTCCGACTGTTGGATGGGATTAAAGTTCACCAGATAGTTGCCGCAGTCCTTGATTAAATTCTGGCTATTGTCATTGGGCGCAACATCGAACTGTATTTGGATGAAGTTGAAGCTCTGGAAATTGGAGTCTGGAAAAATCGGAAGAATGGAAACGGGTCGAGCATCGCTCCTTGGATTTGTGGGATGCCGGTAAACGGGTTGCTTGATCTCCTCGAAGGTCCTGTCAATCATCTGCCTCTGCTGTTCCAGGCTAATGGCCTGCAGGCTTTTCAGGACCTTTGGCTCGGCAGGAGGACGCTGTAATCCTGGGCGAGGAAGTGGAGGAGGAATCCGCTCCTTGGCTAACATCTGGGCGGATTCCTGGGCAGGACTTGACTCAGGCTTGCCATTGCCACAATGCAGGGCATCTGTATCCGCCAGCAGAGGTGCATCCCTGGGATCCATTTGCTGCACATTCCTGGGTGGCTTTTCGTAAACCAAATGGTTCACTAAATCGACGTCAAATAGCGAATGAAGACCCCTGAAATGATGCAAGAAGCAGGACTCCTGTTCGGGATACGAAACCGGATCCAAAGTGTACTCCAGAATATCCTTGCCGCAGGGGAGAAATTTGCAATCTAGCGACGGACCGGGCATATCATTTTTGTAGACAATGCGGCAGATGAACTGATTGCTGGGGGGTGGGGGGTGGTGTATAGAGAGTGGGGTGGGGGGTTGGAGGATTTCGCTGTGAAATTGGGTTGGGCTTTGCAACGAAGTGGTTCCCCCTACTCACTCCTGCTCGTCCTCCTTCTTCGTTTTGTCCAATTCATTTGCCGCCATTATGGAAGATCTGCTTTCCTCTTGTTTTCTCGTGCTCGTGTTCGTTTTGCTTTAGCTGCTTTTGCTGCTTATTGTCGGTCTCCCGTTCCAATTGCTCGACCAGTTTTCTGTTTTGTGCTTCGTCAGTCGGTTTGACAGGCGGCACAGCTCCTCCTGACAGATCCGTCAGCAGCAAGTTGGCAGCCCAGCTCGACATGGCCAAAACTAGTTGCCGATAGCACCTCGCGTTGGCAGTGGATGAATTAACACCGCGGGCCTTTTAATTATTCAAATAAATAGTAACTAAATTAGTAAAGTAAAGGAATCATTCACAATGACCTACAATAAAATTCAAAGTGCTTAGATAGCTAATAATCAAAATTATGAACCAATCTATCGATATACAATGACTACCCCTAGTGTTAAATAAAAGTTAAACGCCTTAAAGTGTTGATAAGCTGACAAGAAATACCAACACGTGTCCCTAATCAGTTTTAGTGCGTCGTTTTTGCCGAGGTGGGGAGTTGACTCGCCCGTAATCAGCCGACTTTAAAATCCCTTCCGTGTCACTACCACCCACTCCCACTCCCACCCACACTTGCCCCCTCTTTAACCCCCATCAACATCCGCAAGATGCGGGCCACTCGACCCTAATGGACTCTGACTTGGCCACCTTAGGTTTTGGCCAGTGCTAAGCTCATTACGTGCCACGCCCCCGCAACGCTTCCGCACATTCAATTGCAAACTGTTGTTGCGGTGGCGAAGGATGGAAATTTGGCACTGAAAGAAAAAGTCAAAGGTGTCAAGTAGTAGTCATATCATGGAAAGTGTAGCAACAAGATTACAAGTTTATCAAATATTTAATGAATTAATGGGAACACACTGTTTGCCTTTGTTAAAAATTTACGAAATTGAAGAGCCACAATATTTTAAAATTATATTCCCCAGTGCTGTTTATAACCTAGATTAATTTATTCTTAAAGTTGTTTAAAAGCCGTTGAAGATTTTATACAGCAAAATTTAAGTAATAATTTTGATGTTTTATTTCTATCAACTTTATTTAAGACACTTTAAAAAAATTAAAGAGCCAAAATAATACAGCTTAAATAAACGGTTGTCTTTAAACTATCTCTATATTTATTTTGGGGTAAGACAGAAAACCGATTGGGTTGGAATTCATATTAATGTACCTACAAGTTTTAACTTATTTTAATTTTTTTTAACACATTAAATCTTAGTAGATAGAGTTTTTCAAGATTTCCTTTTCTTAGTGAAATATTAAACAAACTATTCCTAATAGAATCATTCATTTGGCTGTACTTTTCATATTTTTAATATTTTTATATCAACAAAACTTAATATTTTTTAAAGTTAAGTCTTTTATTTTTGATATATGTAGGCATATTCCTTAAGAAATAATCAGGGCTAATTTCCAGTGTGGTTGAAGGAGGCTGGCTGATGGTGATGAGCCAGTCGCCCGATAAGAGTGGTTGGAGTCCTGGTCGTGGCTCGTGCTGAAATTAATTGATGCGACAATGGCTGAGCAACGACTAACTTAGGCCTCCAACTCAATTCAGGCCGCCACATCATGAGCTCATCATCGTTGCAAGGGGCAGGGAAATGAGGGACGGGGAGAGGGGGGCTGCTGAGATGGGAGGTGTGCCATGTGGATGCCACATTCTGAGGGCTGTGCAATTTGGCGTGCGGAATTTCATTAGAGGCACCGCAGTCGCTGGAGCAGCGAAATCAAAATTTAATTTATGCTGACATTGAAGTGTCTGTGGGGCAATTAAATCGACAGCGGGGCGTGGCAGCCGCCTTCGCTGCCTTTGTGTTGATTAAGTACCGCCGAGCAATATTTTAGCATAATGATGTCCTGGCACGCAGCGTTTTTTTTTTGTGCCAGCTCCTTCGGCAAGCCTTTCACTTTTGAGCACCGCACTTGGGCCAAAGGATTCGGACCGCCTTTGATGGCCTGATGGTCTGATGGCTGCGCCTGATTAGTCGCCCGATTAGCCTTTGTGTCCCGGAATTTACGACAGCTAAGCAAATTTTATTCGAGTTCTTCGACTAATTTGCCGATGGCCTCCTTGATGAACCGTCAACCATTTTGGATTGCACATAATCCAGTTGGGAGAAGGGATCTCGAGCTTACACGCTTACGTTTAATGGCTGGAAATATGTTAGGGGCAATCTAAAAATATATAAATGGATGTACTTTATCCTAGCGTGGGACACTTGTCCTGGCATTATATTTTTTTGGTGCGATTTATCTCCGCTATCAAATACATATTTTGCTAGAGCGGAGTTGCTGAAAAGCGTCTTCGTCGTCGGTAGCAAAAACTTTGTGAACTCTTTTGTTAGCTTAAAGGAGTATTCGACGGCTAAGTAGCAAAAGATGATTTTCCGCAGCTGAAGATACTTTTAAGACTGATTCGCAGCTTTTACTGTTCAGTGGCTTAAAGTACTTTCCGTTTGCTTAAACTACTTTCCAGTTGTTTCTTTTCCGCAGTAACTTTTTAAAAGCTGCATTTCGGTTGTAAGATACTTTCTGCAATTTTAGTAGATACTTTTCTGCGGGTCAACATACTCTTGTATCTGAAAACTGCTATAAAGTTGCTGCCACCTGAATTTATAAAACAGATAGGCTACTTTGATACTCTTTCATTTTACCCATCATTATTCCTTTGTTTTAATTGGCGTTATTTGGCTTTGACAGCTCCTGGACAGTAATTAATTTGATTAAGCCTAAGAAAGCCTTAAAAAAAGCTTTGGCTTTAATTAGCCTAATCTTTCATGTGAGCTGCGTTTCCTACTTTTCCTTTTCCGAATCATATTAACCCAGTCTCTTATTCCCTTTTTGGTCTAATCACAGAAAGAAATTGTACTCTTCACTGGCCGAGTTTCAAAGGGAAACCCTAAACAGCTTTTACTCAAGTCTTATTTAGGAATGATTTTCCTGGCTATTTTTCAATTATTTTGCCATTTCCATTTTTCATCCCTTCGATTCGGTTTTAAGAGCCCGCATCTGTTCGAGTCCGATTTGAAATGCTAGTGAAAGTGGGAGCTGTAATTAAGCTCTACAGCCGATTGGACACGCCCACTTTTAAATCGGCCATTCTACTAATTAAGTGCGAACGATGCTCCACTCATGGAATGACGACTGCTCTGGTTCAGTTTTCCACAGGGATGTGGCGTTGACAATGCGGCATCGTTTACTGATTTTTCAATTGTCCCCAGCCGTCGGCAGGGAAAATCCTTTGTGGCTGGACTAGGACGAAATGGGACTAGAATGCTCACCGTTTCATTGGCATTATGCGGCCACAAAAGTATTCCAGGAATCCTTTTCTCCACCAGGTCCAAGTTCGGGTCAAGTTAAATTATTTTAATGATCAGGGATTACGGGGGAGAGGGTGTCGCATTAGCATGCATTACATCAGGACACACTCGCACGTCTCTCAGGTCCTGTCCGCTCCTCCTATCTGCTTGGTGTGTGTGGGGAAATGAGCATCCTGTAATTACTTTATCCGACATTCGTGTAGGATTTCCACTATTTTCGGCCGGCTTGACATAATAGCAGAGATATTTGCGGGGGGGAAAAAGGGGCCGGGGAAATGATGGAGAGGGGCGTAATTGTAGCCAACGCCAGCCCACACAATTAGACGCCTTGCACATTCTCCAAAGCGACATAAATCATAATTACTGGCTCGACCTTTCCCCACACACACACTCGCACACACACACCTCTCTCTTTCGCTCCATTTGAGTGGGTGGGTGGTGCAGAAATGGGTGGTTGGGTGGCAGTTGGGTGGTGCAAGAGCGCACTCGAGTGAAGACGTTTATTAGGCGACATTACCTCGGCATATAAAGTGCTTTTGGAGGCACTGCGTCCTCGTTCCCGGTGGCCTCCTCCTTTCCTCCTCCATTCGACTCGCTCGAATGTGTTTTCTGGACCACTACAATTGATTGCACTGTGGTTATGGGTCGGGTAATTTGTTGTTGCCGTTTCGGCTTGCTTCCTGTCAACGATTCCCTGGCCTTCTCTTTCTCTTTATTTTCTCCTTTTCTCCAATTCTCCTGGTCTCTAGCTCCCTTGGCGAAAAGTTTCCTTTGCTTTGGTAATGCACCTGATGACAGAGGGTATTGCCAATTTCGACTATTAGTTTGCAACCGGAAATAAAAACCATTTGAAAAATGTTCGGTTCTTAACTGCAAAACAAATATTATTTTAATACAGCCTTAAAGGTATTTCATAAATTTGTTCTCAACAAGTTTTAAATTAATTTCAAATCACTCCAACTTTAGAAGCCTTGCTAATAATACAATAAAGTTAGAAAAGTTGTATGAGCGAGTAAGTTTTTATAACTACAATTTGCAGAACTATTTTATGACATAAATAAAAATAAAACTAAACTAGTGTTTGTTTTATTTCAAATGTTTTTAAAGTAGTCTGTCAAAAAAAGTTTAAAAGTTTTGCAAATTGTCAAGAGTATAAAACATGTTTACTAAAAGAAGAACACTCATTTATTTTACCATCTTAAGTTAATGGCCTAGTAAATTTTTTGCCATTCAAGGGGACTGTTGTATTCGGCTATTGCGGTTTTTCCTCATTTTGTGCTGCTTTATTATTGTTTATTTTTGCTTTTTACTCGTAGCTTTTAGTGGCTCTGTTGGCCATGGCCAAATGAAAATTTAAGAGGCATTCATTATTTATTTAGCCGGTGCTTAATGCTGTTTTTTCACTGTCATCGATTTACGGTGTTGCGGGCTCACTTGTCGCCCACTCTTTTAGTGCCTTTTGATTTAGATGCATAATTAATAGATATTAAATTGTGAAAATGAAATATTCGCGGCTTTTTCGGTTGGTGGCTCTCCGCTAAGTGGTTTCGTTTTGCTGTGATAACTGCTGTTTTAATTTTCGAATTAGGCATTGAATGGCGACACTTATCGCTGTATTTAATATTAACCAAAATCCAATTAGACGCATGAAATGCATTCCCCATAGTTGGCTTGTTGAGGTCGACCGGTTGAATTAAATTCATTAGCCCCATCACACAGCGCAATTAGGGTTCTGTTTGCCCAACAACACATTCAATTATACTATACCAGTGATTGAAATGATCAAAGAAAATAGT